TTTCTTATTGAAATATTGATTTTTTAGAGAATTTTTAATTATTTTTTTTATTAAAATATTGATTTTTTCTAAAAATATTTTTTTATTTTTCATATTTTTTTAAGTTCAGAAATTTTCGTTTTTCATTTTCTGAAAATTTTAAAGTATTTATTTTTAATTTTTCATGTACTTTCTGTTAAATGCTTAACATTGCTCTGTTAGCAGCAAAAAGAGCAAAGTGAAAAAATGTGGTTTGTGTCTTTGGTAGTTAAATTCGAATTTAACTTCACACACTTTTGGATATATTCTGATATGTTCTGGCTTCCGAATTCACAAAACCAAATGTGAAAACGATAGATTTCACATTTTCTTGGTGTTTTCGTTTTCACATCCTAACAAAAAAATTCGAAAACTTTTCACATAAAAATAGTTAGGTGAAAGCAAAACGAATCTACTTTTTCGTTGCGAAAAATCGCTTTTATGTAAATAAAATGTCGAAAGCTAACACCTTAGATATTAATTTGTTTAAATACAATATTTTTTTATAAAAATATAAGCATACAATAGTAAAAAATTGGATTTAAAATCAATGCAATAGAAAAAAGTTCAAGGATTTTTTTTATTATTTGTAAAATTTTTAGTTTTTTTTCGCGGAATATGATTACGATTATGTGTTTTGACAACATTTTCTTTGACATTTGTTAAACTTGTTGTAAAACTAAATTTGAAACCAAGTGAAAACGGGAACATCACATTTTTAATTTCGTGTGAAATCTTGATTTCATCTGAATTTGAAATTTTGTGAAAGCCAGAACATACATAATATCCCAGCTAGCATTTTTTGAAATTTTTGATCACATTCGAGTCATTTATGACTCTTCTGCGCGATTAAAATGATCTTATATGCCCTCATTTTCTGATCATAAATGATACATTCGTCGGGAGAAAATGGTACCCTACCCGCGAATCTTCTAAACAAGTCTTTAATGAGCCCCACTTCTGATCAGTTCTGATTCATCTTTGAATTTTTTGAATCATTAATGAGCCGACTTACTGATCGTTTTAGAATTATTTTCGAATCATATTATAGTCATTTTTGAGTCTTTTCTGAGTAATTTTTATGTTTGTTACAGACAAATACAATACAACAGAAAACAGTATTTGATCTTCCGACTGCGCAAAATGTAACTACAAAATAAATTTATAAGTAATCATATTTCGAACACCTGGATGACCTATTTGTGACTGCTGAACATTTTGTTATTGTTTCTCAAATAAATCAGATTTTAAACATTAATTGGAATTATTTAGACTTAATTTAGTGATTAGTCACCCAACAATCTTCCGTAGAAGATCATTAAACATATAAAATTATTATAATTAAAGTATAATAATAGACTTAGTTTAGTGATTAGTGACCCAACAATCTTCCGTAGAAGATCATTAAACATATAAAATTATTATAATTAAAGCATAATAAAATTTCAATTTCCTTGACATAAAATCGACTTTATAAATATCACACAAATTAAAATACTTATACATTTAATTTTATAAACGAAATAAGAATTATATCAACTCATTTTAGGCCACATAAAATTTTTTTCCAACTCTTCTAAAAGAGTATTTTCTGAGCCCATTTTCTGATCAGTTTCGACTCATTTTTGAATCGTTTTTGAGTAATTTTTAAGTGTAATTGTATGGAATAGCAACACAAATAAAAACAATTATTACATAAGAAACAATTTTAGATCTTCCAACTGATTGAAATATGATCGCAAAATGAGTTTTTAAAACCATTATATTTTAAACACCAGATGATTGCTATACATTTTGTTATTGTTTTTCAAATAATCAGTTTTCAATCATATATCGGGATCATTTTCGAATCATTTTATAAGCGCTCAACTTATTAATCACTTTTAGGTCATCAAAAGACTCAAAAATGACTCAGTTTACAGATTAATCATCTAACAATCTTCCAAATGCTAGCTGTGTAGTTACAACGTCGTTTTTAAGCTTTAGGGTATATAGGAGATCGTTGTGACCTTTGACCGATTTTTTCCACACATATTCTTATTTGGAACGCATTCTGATGAATACTGTAGATAGGGAGTGTCCTTGCACCGATTTTTTGAAATTTAAAAGTTTTCTTAATTAAACTCTCAGACACTAATATACCAAATTTCATAGTCCTAGGATCACTCCTGTAATTTTGCAAATTAGCTATATAGGAACAAAGCACAGTGCGACACCGATTATGCATTGGGCAAATGTTATTCAATAAATACCTTCCCATGATATAGATAGCAGAATTTCCGATCTATGAACTCTATGAGTTGGGTATAATGTGACATGGAATCAGTGAGGCCAGGAGATTTTTTTCAGAAATCCCTACGCTTATGAGAAAAAATCCCTTTTTTCCCTACACCCACTTTTTATTTTCCCTACATTTTTCCCTACACTACTTTTTTTCATTTTTTCCAAGTTTATCTTAAAAAAATACAAAAATAACATAAAAAACTAAAATATTAGCTGTTTTATAATATACATATATATATGTTTTTTTTTTGTTTAATTTTTAGGAATGAAGTTTCTAGAATTTAAATTTTTACTTTCAATTTTACATCATACAAATCTTCCAACCCTGACTCTTCAGTTAAGATTAAAAAAAACAAGACAATTGAGAGATTTATGGCAGCATCACGATTCGATGTTAAAAATTTATTTTATGTGCCCCCAACAAAAAATTTAATAAAATTTAATATAATTATTTTAAATAAGGTTTACTTTTGCGTTTACTTTTTGCGGTTTACTTTTATAAATTTTCAGAACATGAAATTATTTTTTTCAATCCTGAGTTACTGCATTAAGCCCCCGACTACTCTATCTATAAGGAGTCAGAATATATCGCCCTACAGGATTGGCATAACCCAAAAAGTAGTTTCAAGAAAAAAGGGTAAGAATATTTAATGACATTTAACTATTTTCTTTGATAACTTTTAAACAAATCAAGGGATTTTAAAAATCCAAATTCAGATAGTTGAGTTTAATATGTTTCTCATATAAATTGAAATTCAATTTTTAGTTATCAATATTCACGAAAACGTGGGTTTTAGTTTTTACGTTTACAAAAAATAGTTTTCACATCGAAAATAATAGACATATTAGAAATTTGATAAATCTATATGAAAGATTTTAGTATGTCGCATGTTTTTTAGACCTCAGTTCAAGAAACCCGAATTTTGGATTATGCCAGGCTTGTAGCGATATGTACATAGGTACTAGGGTGATCGATTATTCGACATTTTCCAAAAACCGGTTTTCGAATAGTTCGAATAGTTGACATTTAAAAAAAACCGGTTGATATTTTTCAAATTCAGAAAAAACCGGTTAACCGGTTTTTCATTATATATAAAAAAATATATTTTAATTTGAAAAAAATAATGTTTATGTTTAAATTTGATTAATAAAACATGGCCCGAACAGTTTAAAAGATTAGAACTTTAGATCTAGTCGTCTGATTTACATTATTTCTTTAAAATAAACAAGTAAGAAAGCATAGTCGGGCGTGGCCAACCATATGATACCCTACACCAGTTATGAATATTAAATGTGATTTATTTTTCATAATAAAGCATTTATCTTCAATATTCCCTTGTTCCGATACATTTAAGCAATTTATGGATGAAAAACTAATATTCTGAAAGAGGCTTTATATGGGGACTAGGGGCAAATATGGACCAAGCTCGATAAAATTTTGTGAATATATTTATATAATATTTTATTGTGCTGAATTTCATCGCAATATTTGTGTTTATAAGTTAATTTTGGACATTCAAGTAATTTTCTGAAGGGGACTTTGTATGGGAGCTAGGGTCAAATGGGGCCCGATCTTTATGAAATTTGGCAGGGTCATCAAGACTTCTATAAAACTTAGTTGTGCCATATTTTATAGATATATCTGTATATTTAACATAATTATGAGCTCAGAAGCCCTTTTCGGGGGGTTCTGTTCTATGGGGGCTAGGTGAAATAATGGACCGATTTTGACCATTTTCAATAGGCTTCCTTGGGTCAAATAAAACGTGCGTGCCAAATTTCATCCACTTATCGTGAAAATTGCGACCTGTACCTTGCGCACAAGGTTTACATGGACAGCCAGCCAGCCAGACGGACGGACATAGCTTAATCGACTCTAAGCCGATTGGTATACTTTAAGGTGGGTCTAGGACGAATATTTTTGTATGTTACAAACATCAGCACAAATCCAATATACCCTCCCCACTAAAGTGGTGTAGGTTATAAAAAAAATTAGAAAAAAAGTGGGACACTTCTGTTAAACATAAAGTACTATGTAATCCTAGCTTATTCTAAAAGCCCTGTTTAGAAAATTTGCATAGGCATTCCAACACTTCCATAAAATTTCAGCCGTAAATTAATTATTATAATTGGAATATAATCTAAAGATTGATAAAATTTTATCAAATAGTTATCAATTTTACAAATAATTTTTTTTAATTAATTAGGAAAATCAAAAATGTTTAACCAAAGGAGCTTTAGAAAAATATACGCTAGTTCCTCGACTCGAATATTTTTAAAATTTAGACGGGCTGTATTATGATTTACTTAAAAATTTCATTTAAATAATGTTTGAATACAAAGCAAATAAAAGTGTTCGAAACCGGTTTTTAAAAAGTGAAAAAACCGGATTATTTGATATTCGAAAAATCAGCATTAAGAAAAAACCGACACTGGTAATGCAGAAAAAACCGGTTTTAAAACCGGTTGAAAAATCGACTTGATCACCCTAATAGGTACACATATTGTAGAAATTACAAGCGGAATTTTTACTAACGATACACTTAAAATTGATTTCATGAAAAAATCCCTACAACTTGACAATAGTAAGAAATCTTTCCCTTTTTCCCTACACGTGAAATTTTTTAAAAAAATCCCTACAAAAAGGGAAAAATCCCTACACTTGGCATCACTGCATGGAATTCAGAATTATATCTTACCTCTTTAAAAAAACGAACTGCTGTCAATGGCAAACTAAAAGAACAGAAAAGCAAGTCGGAAATACATAATGAGAGAACGAAGGCTGTAGTTGCATGACATCTTATCTTCGGCGATCTCATTAAAGCAAACATTGTTATTAGGTTGCCTAAAAGTAAATAAATACATACACAATTAAAAATAATTATTACCATATTAATATAAACATATTTTAAGTTTTCAATCGAAATAATGTCGGGAGTTTATCATTTAGACGCACAAAACTAAATCGCTGAACCTATTACTCTTTTTATACCCACCATCAAAAAAGATGTAACACATCGAAATATTGCTCATAGACCCATAAAAGTATATATATTCCGGGTCCTTATTAAATTCTAAGACGATCTAGCCATGTCCGTCCGTCCGTCTGTCTGTTGAAATCACGATAGGGACCACACGAGAGGAGCTAGGCAGTTGAAATTTTGCATAAATATTCTCTATTGTTAAGGTTTGTTTGGTATTGAAAATGGGCAATATCGGTCCACTTTTTCGGATAGCCCCCATACAAGTGGACCTCCAAAAAACAGCTTCAACGGGCATAACTGCTTCAGAAGTACAAGTATAGCGATGAAATTCGACATAAATATGTTCCATATGAGCCAAAATCTTTCTACCAAATTTTTTCAGGATCGGCCCATAAATGACCCTACCCCCCATATAAGGTCCCCTTCTGAAAATGACTTTAACACTCATTACTGGCCACAAAATGCAAGTATAGCGATGAAATTCGACATAAATAAGTTTCATGTGAGCCAAAATCTTTTTACCAAATTTTTTGAGGATCGGTCCGTAATTGACCCTACCCCTCATATAAGGTCCCCTTTAGAAAATTACTTTAACACTCATTACTGGTCCAAAAATGCGAGTATAGCGATGAAATTCAGTATAAATAAGTTTCTTACGAACCGAAATCGCTCTACGAATTTTTTTTAAGATCGGCCCATAAATGACCCTACCCCCCATATAAGGTCCCATTCTGAAAATGACTTTAACGCTCATTATTGGCTAAAAAATACGAATATAGCAATAAAATTTTACACAATTAAGTTCCTCGCGAGCCAAAATCTTTTTAATAACTTTAATATGGATAGGTCCATAATTGGCCCTTCTCCCCCTATTGGGTCCACTTCAGGAAATAGCTTTAACGCTCATTACTGTCTTAAAAATAAGAGTAAAGCGATGAAATGCTACACACGTAAGTTTCTTACGAGCCAAAATCTCGGTACCAATTTTTTTTGGATAGGCCCATAAATGACCCTTCCCCCATATAAGGCCCCCTCTGCAAATAACTATACTGCTCATTACTGGCTTAAAAATATTAATGTAGTGACGAAAATTGACGCACATAAGTTTAATGCGTGCCAAAATCTCTCCACTAAATTTAGGGAGGATCGGTCCATAATTTACCCTACCGCCCATACAAGGTCCCCTTTAGAAAATTTCTTAAACGATCATTACTGGCTTAAAAATATGAGTTATGAAATACGGTTATGAATGTGTCGGTAATTCACCCTACCCCCCCCCCCCCCATATAAGCCACTTTATAAAATTACATGAACGCTAATTGCCGGCATAAAAATGCGAGAACAGCGAATGTAAACAAGTTTTATATGAACCAAAATCAGTCTACAAAAAGTTATGAGGATAGGTCAACAATTGACCATACACCACATATGAGATCCTCTTTAGAAAATTTGATGAAGAAAACTCTGATAATTACAAGTACAGTACAAAATATTAAAAATTAATATTTTGTTTGTTCAAAAGAGCTCGGTCCATAATTGTCTTAAGCTATATTCCAAACATCACCCTGATGTTTATATGGGAGCATTCCTTTTACGGCATACGGTTTGATGGTGGGTATATGAGATTCGGCACAGCCGAATATAACACTCTTACTTGTTAATGATTTCAAATGATACTGAAGAATTACACTATTGTAGCTTTGAACATAAAATAACTATTAATTATGAAAAAAATAAGGATAACATCTCTTTGTACCATATGCATGACAGGGTTATACCTTTCTGATGCACACACATGTGCCATAAGTATAGTAGTACATTAGCTATGAAAATTAACATGACCTGATCCCATATTAGTAAAATATTAAAATTAAATATAGAAAATTAAAACAAGTTTGACATCCATATAAACATTTTGGGATAAAATAGTTAGACTAGCATTAGAGGAAAATTATAGAAGCTAGAGTGACCATTGTTAGTACTAATAACTTATGTATTAAATTAATTTTTAGAGGAAAAATGGGAGGTCTAGAATCAGTAGGCGTGGCATCTCTCATATTAATCATTTTGTGGTTCCTGTGAACCAAAGGTTGAATATTTATGTATGTTTGTTTATTTGTTTGTTTGTTTGTACCTTATAGGAGGCTAAACTAGTGAAGCGATCTTCTTGAAATTTTCAATGTATGTTCCCCTATATCTGGAGGGAACAATAGGATACTTTTTATTTTAAAATTGCAAGTGGGAGGGGTGCAACACCCACTTCTTCAAAAGTCGAATATCTCGGAACATGGTACAACTAGGGTCCTCAAATTTTTATGGATAATTTAATATATATAATAGATAAATTCGTATATCTAAGAAACTATTAGAGCTAAAATCCTTAAATTTTGCAATAACAACTTTGACATCCATCTGAACATTTGGGTAATAATTTGGCGTTGTCGTTTGTCTGGGAAACTAATAGACCTAAAATCTTCAAATTTTGCACAAAGATTTTTAACATTTATTATTTAGATCAAAAATACTTTGACATCAATGTGAATACTTTGGTAATAAATTGGCGGACTAGCAAATATGAATTATATACAAAAATTTTACATGAAAAACTTTGACATTCATGTGAACATTTAGAGAATAGACTTTCAATAGGACCAAGGCATCTCCCATATGAATTAAAAACAAAATTTCGCATATCTGGGAAACCATTATATTATTCAAATTTTTCATTAACGGTTGGAAAAATTGGCGAACTTGCAATAATTTGCGTGGCATTCCCAATATGTAAAAAATGTATATCTGGAAATATTTTTAAATATTAGTTGTAAACTAAATATTTTTAAATATTAGTTGTAAACTAATATTTAAAAATATTTTTAAATTATACTAGAAAAATAGCATATTGCATAAGAAACAAAAAACAATATGTTATAACACTTCCTTATTGTCTTAGTGTCACGCCCCCTATTGCTAATCCTCCAATTTATTACACCAATCTTCACATGGATGTCAAAGTGGCTCTCACAAAATTTGAGAACTCTAACTTATATATTTTCTCAGAAATACAAAAGTATTATATTTGCGTGGGTTCTGGCACATGGGAAGAATTTTTGCGTAGAATTTATTTGTATACTTTTCGAGTATTTTTGGTGCCTTTAGCTTCGTATAACCGGAGATTTTTTAAAAATACCCGGTAAAATAATTTTAAATTTATAGTGCTTTTTGCAATTTCTCACGGAGCTTTTAGTGCTTTTTAATAATAATATGAATTTCAATAGAGTTCAATATTCGCATTTGCCGAATCTTTAAATAAGATTAATTTTATAAAATTTTATAAAAAACTTAAAAATTTTATAAAACTTAAAACTTATTTTATATTTTGAAATTTAGCAATAACAAAATATAAAACAAACAACTAACGCCAACATAAAAGAACAAAATACGCAAAGCAAAAAAAAAAAAAAAACAAAATAGGCAAAGCAATAAAACCACCATAAATACGATTTTTCAATAAGTTTCTTATCTCCACTCTCCAAGTATATACATACGTACAACGAAATAAAATTACATTTTAATTAAATTTATATATTAAAGATTATAGGTTTTAGTTTTTGTGAACTCTAGACAATATCAATCCATTAGTTCAATGTTATCAGTCGGCTAAAAAATGCAATTGTTAGAGCCCACATTGACAATATTTTAAGGATTTTGTACTTTTCTGATTCATTGTACTGTAGAGAATTTAAATATACAAAATATGTTCTTCAAAGATATCAGCAACTTTAAAAGTTAAGAATAACATAAAACAAATATCAGTTTTCATTTTTTGGAACACCTCTAAACAACTGTAAATTGCCCTAATAGTTAATTAAGATACTCAGTTTTTTATTAAATTAACAGACAATAAAATAGTCTAACTATAATGTAATGAAAATAAAATAATATAATTTCATAGAATGTAAAAAAAAAATAAAAAAAAATTAAAAATTATGCTGAATTTCAGTAACTTATCACAGATTTTTATTGTTATCTCGATTTAACAATTAATTTAAATTTTAAATTTTTGATATAAAACTCGATTTGTATGAAAAATATGAGTGATTACGGATCTTTATTGTTTTCTCGAATTGAGTTTAAAGCAAATTTTTAAATAGTTACATACATTTTAAGGGGAGATATTAATGATTTTCATGATCGAATTTTTGTGAAAAATGTAATATGAATATATTATTTACCCCTATAGTTTTTGTTCACTAGTTTTTATTCTGCATACAAATGTGGCATCGTAGACATTCGTTCAAGATCCAATATATCTTATAGTTTTCTCGATCGTAGGAAACTACATCCGATTCTCTTTTAAAATTGTTATTTTCTGAGGATATACAGCAGATTACAGGTTTTGAATTAAAAATAGTTTTCCGGTGGAAAATATAAGTGATGGGAGTATTATGTACGGATCTACAACAATATAATTTTGATAAAAAAATTCCATATGCTATTTTCTTGATCGTAGTAAACTACATCCGATTCTATTTTAAAATAGTAATTTTTTGAGGATATATTTTGAAATAAGAAAAGATTTCCGGTGGAAAATATAAGTGTTGGGAGTATTATATACGAATCTACCCGATTTTTTGCTTTAGATGAAAATCTATTTTTGATAATAAATTTAATTGATTACAGATTTTTATTTTACCTAATCGTAAAGTAAGTTAAGGACCTACAAACATTTTACAGTTTTCAAATAAAAATACATTTTTGAATAAAATTTTAACTACCTATATAATTAATCTCACATAAGAAGTATATATCATGATCTTTAGCATTATAAATGTAACAAGAAGTAGACGAAAATAGGTCATTG